TAAACGTAAACCGCTTTCTTTGATATTTGGCATTTGGAATAACAAATTTAAGATTTCATAAGGCATCATATCTCGGTGTGACTAAGATAAGATATTAAGGTCAATAGATTTTAAGGTCAAACAACATTTTATAAAAAAAAAAAATAGCGACGGGCCATCTGAAACCTTATAGAATCATTGCTCTGAAGGATTCATAGCCGACGTAATACGACATGACTTGGCTAACCTTTTAAAGAAAAAAGGAAGTATAGAAAAGAGAATCTGTTATTCTTCAAAAATTACCGTGTAAATGAAGATCTTTCGCGATTTTTCAAAGGTTTAAGTATAGTTAAATTGGTTTAACACCGTTTTATGCGCAATCTCGTCGAACATCATCGCCAATTACATCTAGAAAAATAAGCTTTTCTGTCCGCGATTAACTCGGGGTGTTATTAAAATTATATTCCAGTTTTAATTTTTGCCCCAACGCCACGGTTTTTGTTTAAAAGGAAAGTTTAAAAAGTAGTTTGAGATGATAGGGAAATATTTTCGAGCTGTTTTCTTGCAGTTCTAAGTCAATTTTATATTTAAAAAATTGGCCATCTTTCCCAGTCGGAACAATGTTATGCTGCACTAGAAAAACTTTTTAGTCTAATAGCTACTTACAAATTAAAAATGATAAGCAAAGATTTGAACTATTGGTTCTTTGTTACTGTTAAATCACTTGAAGAACCTCGAGGAATCTTTATGAAATATTATGCGGCCTCGCCTCTTCGGAGTTGCTAAAAAGATGTGGAATGAATGGACATTGGACTTAAGAGACGGACAGTCTCAACAGGTATTCCTACAACAAAAATTTATCCCTTAATTTGCTGTTATACATTTCCCATAATTATCAAATGTTATTATGGAAATATGAATAGACAAACATGCATTCACAAACATGTCCTTCAATAGCGAAATCCACTACTGAAGTCATTCCTAGAAAACGAAATGCGAAAATTAGGGGCAAACCAGAAACTAAAAGCTGGAATCTTTTGCGTTTTGGAATCCGGAATCTGCAGTGGTAGAATCCGGAATTCAGCACCTGGAATCCGGAATCCACAGCGTGGAATCCAGAATCTAATACTGTCCTGGATTACCTTACATGGGGCGAGATAGCCGGTGATGCTATTCAGCCGTTGTTTGAGCAAACTGATCTAACGGTGACTGGCTTTTACGAATATTTTGATCTTAATATTTATTTACACAATAGAAAACTGACCTAGTTTAATTTGGATGGATTCATAGATAGATGTAAGTGCTAAGTCTTTCAAGATCAGGCCTGTTTAATTTGGGGTCTTCTTGTGTAAACAGAGACCTTGGATTAGTCAATGCAAGGTCCCATATCATTTTTAAAACCGTCCGCGCGCATGACAATACCTACAACAACATGATTGTTTGATAAAACGTTGAAAAAGGATCATTTTAATACCTGAATGATAGGTGTAACTTTGTTTCAAATTTTCATAGAGTTTCTTAAACGTACAGCCAGTTTTGCTGATGTGAGATATCCTGCAGAGAGTAAGTGAACTCCAACAGGGATGCTAAGTAATAAAACAGTCTTTGTAAAATTTATTTTGATTATCGATTTTCTTAATCGACTTAAAAGCCCCTTGCATGACCACCCCAACCGCTCTCTTCAGAACAATGTTGAACTCCAGCCAAGAGTTTGAACAGGAGTAGGCCATCATTGATATTAGTGGGGGGGAAGGGGGGGTGAACACATCTGAAATCTGTTGCCACTGATTGTTAGCCTTATACATCTACTTCAGTAGGTGACGTTTATCTTTAATCTCAATTACAACCTTTTTTCTGTGTCAGAGGTGCAAATTGTATGTCATTGTTCAAAAACAAAAAACAACTTGAATAAAATAAAAAAAATAACTTGTAAATGAACATGATGTTTTTATTGTTATTCTCGAAAATTCACCCTTGATTTTATTCACCCTTGATTTTATTCACCCTTGATTTTATTTTTTTCCAGGGACCCCTGGAATCAGCAAACGACTGGGACAGAAAGGAGCACATAAGGAATAGCTGGATTTTTACGTGACATTTTTGATATTATTGTTTGTGCGAGATATCTCTGATATATCGGCGATATCTCGGAACAGCCGTTGAAGTGTTTCCTGGTACTCATCACCGACTTGTAGATTTCATTGGAGGACATTTGAAACTTTTGGTCAAAGGTAAGGCGACCCTTGCAAAATCTTCGTTTTTCAGACGTCACTCAAACACCATCACTCCCATTTTCCTGTTAGTTAGACCGGCAGAGTCTTGTTTGCTGCGTTCTTATATACATCAGCTTTCTGCGAGAGGTGTCTAGTGATCAGTTCTACAAAAAGTACGAAAGGTAAGACATTTTATTGTCGTTGTTTTGTGTCACTTGCAACAAGGTTATGAGGTGTGATGGGTGAAATTTAGCCGGGTAGATAGATGTAGGAAAACTGTTTTTGATATTTTTTTCCTAATTTGATCTATCAAAATAATGATCAAGGTTGCAAGCTTTTTCAAAAAGTAATTTCATTAGCACGCCGGTGGCTAAAACACTTTACTTTTGAATAGAATGAGATACTACTCTGTGGGATTATGCACAGGCATGCGTTTTTTAGTTGACTTCTTATACTTGCAAGGAGGTCGTCAGAGTAAGTCAGTATACATTTCCATCGACGCTGTAGTTATTCGAAAATCTATTCTCAAAAAAATTTCTTTTTTTTAACTGAATTTGTACCTATTGGCAAAGCTTCCTCTACCTTCCGACTCTGCTTGCCCAATATTACGTTATGGCAGACATTTCTGGGATTTCATCTTATTCTAAACGCCAGTTATAACTGTCATGCTCTAGAGAACGTGCCGTGACAAAACTAGGTCGTGTTTATTACTTCAGTATCTCTATGACCTTGGAATGAACTTACTGCTGACTAAGCCGGCTTTTGGATAGTCAATTAGTAACTTGTTCGTTAGCAAATTAGTATAGATTTATTTTTTTTTTTGATGATAAAATTAATTTTATATGCTATTCACTGTCGCGAATAATGAATTGCAGTACAGATGGTTTTCAAAGATCAGGGCTCTGAAATTGCGTCCGTTATTTTTGACCTCGTAATTCTCAGAATTCAAGATGTTTTTAAGTGTTTTTGTTAAATCAACCAATCAGTTTTGTTTTTTTTATTCACCACTCACTTTAAATAATTTTCCACTCGGAAAATGAACAATGACAATTGAAATAAGTATGATTTCATTTTTCGTACTTGACTTTCATCAGGAGTTACCCGGTGTCGATATGTCGTAATATAAATATGTCATTAAATTAACCGAACAGTGATAGTTTTCGTGCACTCAAGGACAGGCAAGGTGATTATGTTAATCTGCGTTTCCGATGTTAAAATTTCCGTTGGATAATCTTTTGCTGCGGATATGTATCACAACAAAATAAATATGCGTTATTGACCGAGCGAAAGGTCAGGATGCTTTGCAGTGAACGGCGGATTATTTATTTTGGTTACTTTCAAGACGTACGGTGCGATCCCACTGTTAAAAAAATAGCAGAAAATTGGCGAAAGCCATGAACTATTTGCACCGATTGCGACATTTTTGCAAGTTTGTTTTCATCGCGGGTAATCAATGAGGAGCATGTCATTACCTTTTCGAGTTCGAGTAAAAGACAGGCAAAGACTGAGTGTAGGAAACAGACCAGTAGACCAACAACTTTTTTACCGGCTGATGTTGAAACGTATTAAATTTTTTTTTGGTGATCCTAATCAAAATTTTCGCACTAATGTCTTCCGGTTAGAGTTTGGCGTTCATTGTTCCCCTGAGCATCATACCTTGTTTGAAAGCCTTGAAACTGTGTACGAAGAGCAACTTTGTCATTATAATGAAGAAGAGTTGATTTTGTCATGATAGTGCCGTTTTTGTCGTTTTAAAATGTGAGCAAATGAATTATTGAAAGAAAAGATGTAACTCTAACTAAATATTTTTAATGCAAAAAAATGTCCGATGTGCATGTTTGTACAGGCACGCCATTACGGAAATCTTGACATCGCTAATTAGTGATAAAACATTATTGTTTAAGTGTACCCTTGTTTCTGAGGTATTTCAAAATCGTCTCCTAAAATTTATCATTAATGTATTTTAGAACCAATCAGCTGCGACTTCAGAAAGAATGTATTCTGACATGATGGCTGAGCGTGGTTTACGAACAGTAGTGATTTTTGCCCTACTGTCTATCTGTCAGGGTGAGTGTGAATAGGGGAGGGGTGGGTGGTGCGCAGTTGCTCCGATATTGACTTTGATCCGGAAATTATATATTCTCTGTCGCTTTTCAGAAAGGCTTATCCAAGGTGGCTCACATTAATTCATTATGAATTGTATCCTCTACACTTTCTCGATTCTCTCCTCAGGAATGGTGTCCAAAAATGCCCAATCAGGCTTACATACTTGTTGTGCTTTAGAGGAAAATCCTTATTTTAGGCTTTATACGCCTGTGATTCCAAAACGAGATCAGTTGCCCCCTTTCTTATTACGATTCAGTCAAAATATCAAGTTTTTTTCTCAAAACTTTACAAACAAAAATCACATTTGATTTAGCACCGCCTTTATCTTCATTGCCTTCTTTTTCAATGACATGTTCACTTACTCTGTTGCAACAGTTTATCAAGATTTCAAGACTCCAAGATTGAACGAAAGGGTTAAAGTTGTTCACAAGACTAAATTTTATTCTTACGAAAGTTTATACGAACCAATTCTCACAAAGCAGAAACTGAACTGATCTTAATGAAAGAGAAAACAAAGTGATCCTAATGAAAGAGAAAACGAAGTGACCTTAACGAGAGCGAAATCGAATTTTAACCTTTAAGTATTTAGGAGGCTATGTCTGTCATGTTCAAGTAGATTTTTGTCGCAAATGTTCAAGAAATATTTCCACAGTAACAGACACCTCTTCTTTAGTGCTTTTTTTCACAAGTAATATTTATTTTATGCTTTTTCGACGTGCAGGTTTGGAAAATTGTACTGAGCCGTGTCTCATATACACTGTTAGGAACAGAATTGACGCCATTGAGTTAGCTTCTTCCAGAGTGGTTAACCTGTTATCCAATCTTACATCCCCCGTCAATCTCGATGTCCATGTAAGCGAAAGAACATTATACTGGAGCGACGACAGCCATCTTGCCATCAAACGTACGAACATGTCCAGTGGTGTCACGAAGGACATTATTACAGAAGACCATGGATATGTAGGCGACCTTGCCGTAGAATGGGAAAGTCGCCTACTATACTGGACAGATACGTCCTACCGCAGGATTGAAGTTGCCTCGTTAGACGGCACCAAAAGGAAGGTGCTCCTCACCGATTCCTCGAGCTATCCGCTTGGAATAGCGGTGCACCCAAAGAAAGGGTGGGTAAAAAGTGTTAAATGGTCGCATTGAGCCGACTTAGTTTGCGTCTTTCAAAGAATGTGAATGTGACAAAGCATCTTTTTGCATTGACATGGTTTTCTAAAGAAGGGCTTGAGAATGAAATGAATTAACTGTTTTCTAGAGAAAATAATGGGAAATTGTTTTCTCTTGCCGTCATGGGAACTATACTTAAATCGCTATCTCTGGAAACGTTCTCAGTGAATTATTTAAACTTATAACAGTACTAGTATTAGCATTTTTATTTACAACGCCATCCTTGAAGCCCTTATTTGTAACCTGCAATGGGGTGTTCTTTAATTTGAATTTTGCTGGGAAGGCGAAGCACCAGCAAAAAGAACGAACGATCTAGGAGAAACCCTGTTTCTTTCTTTTTTTCAGATGGATGTTTTGGACAGACGTGGGGCAAACTACCAAGATTGAACGAGCAAACCTGGCTGGCTTTGAGCGAACTGTCCTAGTCGATCTCACCAATTCATCTCAGGTCTTGCCAGGGAGTATTGGCGTAGACTATACAAACGATCGCATCGTTTGGGTTGATAGCTGGACTGGTGCAGTTGATTCGGCTGACTTGCAAGGGCAAAATAGACGAATGGTGGCATCTCAAGTTACCACGTATCCGTATGACTTCATTCTCTATGGCGACACGCTTTACTGGAGCGACTGGGTGGCCGATACTATCGAGATGCTTAACTGGACAACTGGCGATTACTTAGGAAACTTCAGCGCTGTGATTTCCGGTAGTGTTTATGGTCTCGGTCTATTCGATAAATCAAGACAACCAGCGTCAGCAGGTAATAAAGGTTAAGTTAAGCCTTTCAGTTTCCCATGAACATAGTCTTGTTTCAAGTAATCGTCTGTTGGCTTGACCATGATGTCTTTTTTGTCATCAAACTCTCGCTTGATGTACCACGAGGGAATCGTACAGGCAAGTTTGGAATAGGATTCTACGTCTCTTGGTCAAGCTTAAAGATATGGCAACCCAAAAAGAAAATATGTTTATGTAATGCTTTTAATAATTATTACGTGAAATCTCAAGAATACAGTTAATATTGATACTCAGGAAAGGAAGCAAATTTGGGTTTTTTCGTGGTTTCTTTTCGGGATAACAAGAGCCATATTCTCTTCCTGCAATTAGTATTGAACAAAGCCGGACATCTATATTTTTAAATGAGAAATCCTGTTATTTCCCAACTGCAATTCAGTTTCAGCTACAATGCAATTGAATCTTTTTGAAATTTGAAATTCACTTAGAAGGTTCTCTTCCTTTTAGAAAATCAGCTTTGTAAGATAGACAACGGAGGCTGTAGTTACTTGTGCCTTTTGACACCCAACGGATCTCTTTGCGCCTGTCCTGATGGCAGTCCTTTCTCAAAAGATGGTAAACGCTGCCTTGCAGGTAAGAATTTTCTTTTTCTGCCAGGGGATATTTTAATGATGGTTATTGCCATACGTTTACTAGTTGCTGATACTGATTCGAATGTCCAAATAAAAACTTTACGAAGCCTAAACTGAAACCAGGGTTTAATAACAGTAGCGAGGATACCGTTTTAATTAGGGGAGGTCAGATCTATCAATGCCGTTCATTGAAAAGCGAATGCCGCCCACTTAGGGTTAAAATTTTATTTTTGGTGACCATTTCCTGATTTTCTGACTGTTGCTTGCGAAATAAATCAATTTTATAATAGATTGACCATATCAGCGCTTTGTAAAAAGAACAATGAAAACAAATTTAAGTTATTCGATCTTACAAGTATGAGCTATCTTGGAAAAAAGCCTGCTACTTATAGTAATGTGATAGAGGTGAGTGCTGCACAAAGGTGACTGTAAAGAAAGCGTAGAACTCAGCCAAAAGAGGTTATAAGTAAATCAAAACGTCCCCAAGACTCTAAATATCTCAGTGATCTATGAACAATATCTGGAATACTTTAAATGTCACATAGAATCTGAGACCCTGTTCTCCACTACCTGGAAATTGAAAAATAACTTTTCCGTTAAAATTCTTCTCATCTCAGTTTCAGAGATTACAACATTTCTTCTCTTTGCTGAGGGATCAAGCCTGAGACAAATGGCTTTTAACGCTACAACGTCACGAAGAATTCCCCTCAAAGTACCTGCGTCAAAACCCTATGCGCTGGATTTTGACTTTTTGGAAGAAAAAGTCTACTGGGCAGACATAACACTGGGAACAATCTCCCGAGCGTATCTCAATGGATCATCTCAGGAGACCTTAGTCAGAGGTGGGCTCAACAACTCATATGGACTTGCTGTAGATCCGTTTGGTCGGAATATTTACTGGACAGACAGCACAAAGCAAGTTATTGAAATAGCATCCACAGATGGACTCTACAGACGAGTACTCATTAGGGATAATTTGCAAAATCCAAGGGATATTACCTTAGACGTCACTCGAGGGTATACAAATGTATTTCATTCTTTATGTGATTGTTTTAAAGATTATTTCAGTCAGTTTGTGTAAAGCTTTTAGTTTCGTGCGCCAAAAATCAGTAAATTCGTGAATTCGTTAGACAAAATTCGATAGAAGAGTTGTTTGTCATTGAAAGTTATATCTGGTTATGTGCAAAATTATTGGCCAGTTGTGGCGAATGATGTCAGATGTGATTGTTTCTTTGCGAGCCATATCACCAGTGGTATCTTAATTTCATCAAGAAACGACATCGATGCAAAATGACTTTCAGCAGGAGTATTATTTTTTTCATTTTTTTTTCTTTTGTTTCCAATTTTTGTTTTTATTTTACTTCTGCTTTTTTTTCTTGCTTTTCATCACCAATAGGTACATGTATTGGACGAACTGGGGATGGGACGAGAGGATTGAGCGAGCAGATATGGATGGCACAAACAGAAGAGTGATTACTCGTTATGGGCTGCTTTATCCTAACGGTCTAACTCTGGATGTTTCTAGGAATTGGCTCTACTGGATCGATACTCTTTATGGAAAATTGGAAGTGTACGAGTTTCCATCTAACACAAGGAGAACCATAATCCCCGCATATAGGGAACCATTTCTTACTTCTCCATTGGGGCTGACACTCTATGGGAGTAATTTCTTTTGGACTGACACACATCTTAATGGAATATATCGAGCGGACCGTAACACTGGAGGAAACGCTTCAAAAGTCCTATCTACGTCTTCTCAACCAGCTTTGATTCATGCGTATGACAGGAATATGAATATCACTCCAGGTATAATTTAACCTCGATTATCATATTTATAGAATAGAAGTAGTTCGTAAAACGTACAACCGAAGGCTCGTATTTCATTAATTGCGGTACACAACCAAAATGGTATTTTGCATGCGCAACAAACTGTATTATGGGTATAACACGAGATACTATTTGAGCACAAGTCTAAGTGAAACTCATTCTATCGCATGTTAGTTGCTTATGAAGTTGGACGGTTTTTCTTGGTCCACACTGTACTTATCGTGACATGCATTTAAAGTAAAGTGGTTTTGCCCTTTGGTCACATGTTTGTAATATGGGCCTTTCTGTAAATATTTGCTGTACATTAATGTATTTGGTTTGTGCATTAAGAAGAACGGTTGTTTTCGTGCTAGTCGCTCTACTCTCTCTTAATGCAACACCAGAGATCCAACCAGTAAAATGTAGCCGTTCACGGTTGCATATTTGCTTTCAGTTCCCATTTATTACCATTATCATTATCATTATCTTTATCATTACCATTATCATTATCATTATTATTATTGTTATTATTTTTATTAGTTATTGTATTGGCCCTTGCAATTCATTCTTGTTCTGTTTCCATTTTAATTCTTGGCAACTTGTGCAAAATATTTAGACAAAATGAAGGTGTACTAACCTAACTATGTTATTTTGTAGTAACGGATCAGTGCATGAACCAAAATGGTGGATGCAGTCACTTCTGCTTAGTCTCAACCAGTGGTAAAAAATGTTTGTGTTCTGCGGGGTTTTATCTTCAAGACGACGGAAAAGGTTGTAAAGGTAATAAATCACAACCATACATTACACACCTGAGTTTGACTAAAACAGAGTGGCGTGTCTTGGAAATATTTTAATTTCTCTTTCTCAACAAGCACTATTATCTCCTAGTGTTTATGACACAACTTTTCCCGTAGACTGGTAACGAGTTAATTAAAAATAATTTATTTTTCCATTGTTTTTTAGATTTACTGTTTATAATACGAAACATATTTTTCAGCGGTAATTATCAATATCCACGTTCTCTTTCAAAAACGTTCAGAGGCAAAGTTCAAAAAACGGAATAAATTGATGAGAAGGAAAGAAGTTACCTAGACTTATTTTGTTGAGCGAGTAACGAAAATAATTGTTTTGATTTTGTCAATCAAGTTTTCACGAGGGAATAATAATGTTTCTGCTCGTGCGCAACTGGTTTAAATGCATGATGTGACCTAATATGCCCCTGCTAAAACTCAGGGATATATGGAGGATATTGCCCAAGTGATATTCCTCAATTTTTAAACCCTGCGTCCATTACGATAAGTCTCCGTTTTAAATTTAAAATAAGAAGAGGAGTCGTATTGTCGTTCCCCATTTCCCATTTCTCATTTCTCGTTTCTCATTTCCCATTTCCCATTCCCCATTTCCCATTTCCCTTTCTACGTTTTACATTTTCCATTTCCCACTTCCCATTTCCCATTCCCCATTCCTCATTTTCCATTTCCCATTTTCCACTTCCCATTCTCCATTTTCCATTCCCCATTCCCCATTCCCCGTTCCCCGTTCTCCGTTCCCCGTTCCCCGTTCCCCGTTCTCCGTTCCCCGTTCTCCGTATTAGTAACGTCTCAGTAAATCAGCCATCTTTTAGTAACGTCTCAGTAAATCAGCCATCTTGCGTGTTCAAAATTGAATCATTTTTTCTCAAGTGACACAGGATACTAATATGAAGCAGGTTTTACATTTTGCATGTGTTTTCATTCAATCCTTTAAATTACTAGTTGCCACTGCCTATTATTGTTTTTGGAAAGGCGGTGACTCCTTCCAGAAAAAAAAAGGGCTTTGCATCAGTGATCTTAAAAGTAGACTTCCTTATCGCAGTGTGCAAACATTGTAATACGTATAAATGTTTTCCTACAGCTCAAAGAGAGATCCTGCTTTATGCAGATAATTCATATAACAAGATAATGAGGGTTTCTCCGCACGACTCTGGATTACGTGATCGATTGCCGTTTTCAAACATCTATAGTCCTTTCGCGCTGGACTATGATCAAGTAGAAGACAGACTGTATTGGACACAATATGGAAAGATCTCCCGCGCATTTCTTAATGGTTCTTCCCAAGAGACCATAATTGACGAGAACTTGTACACCACGTACGGACTAGCAGTGGACAGTGTTGGAAGAAATCTTTACTGGACCAATGCAGGAAAAAGTATGTTGGAAGTTTCTAAACTGGACGGTTCTCGTCGGATGGCTCTCATGATTCATAACATAGATCAACCCATGGACATTATTCTGGATGTATATAGGAGGTTAGTTGCAGTTAACAGATGGATTAGTATTCAAGTTAAATAGGCAAGAGGATGGACAGATTCTAAAGTTAAAACGGTCATAGGCGTTCAATAGTTTTAGCGCTCCAAGCTGCGACCGTTTTGGTCGCCGTGGCGAATGAAAAATTTTATAGGCGACTACAATTTTCAACAGATTTGAAAAAAAGGTCTAAAAATCTATCGATGTTTGGTGGAATTATCAAACGTACAAACCTCAATAACGTAACATGAACTGTCCTCCCAAACGCTGTTCGTCTTCGTTCCTTTTTTGCTTATTTATACACATTTGTATTTGTATTTAGATAATTAGTATATATCACACAGGTCACAAATACTTTTTTGCGTGCTCTGATTGGACCATTTCCGGCATATGACGTGGCATATGAACTTCGTAATAGACCTCGCTCACCGTAGAGTCTCTGTGGCTCAGTGGTAGAGCATCGGAGCGCGGAATCCGAAGGTCTGAGGTTCGATTCCTCATGGAGACTCAGAATTTGTTTTTTGTCCCACGCTCGTGACAAGACGAAAAACATCTCTCTGAAGCAAGGTCTTAATTCAAGATTAAGTACGTGTCAAATTCCCAATAGAGTGGGTTAGCAAGAGGACAGGAACGTCATTTCAGAACGGCGCGCGCAGCGAAAACTTCGATAAGAAACTGGGTCGAGAACGCCGTCGCGTTATGTTGAAAAGCGATTTAGCAGTCGTTGCAACGAGAATCCTCACCTCGGCTTTTTAAAGATCACCATCACCTTTGAATTTTTGGTTTTATAGACCACTCTAAGGACAACGAAATTATCTTCTTTGAGAGTTATGTAACAAGCGCAAGCAGAGGATAGTTTGAAACTATCCCATTCTAGTTTAGTCTCGAGTCTGCTGATTCATATATCAAATAGGTTTTTTTTCTATGATTTGTGTCGCTGTCATTTCGTTTCGTGCAACTAGATTTTAGCACTACTCGTTTTTCTTCATAATTTTGTACAGGATAATTTGGAAATCGTCGTCGTTTTTCCCCTTGTTTACTGAATATTCTTCTCAATTATGACAGTTAATCTCTTTTGAGCACCACCTTCTTAGAGTTGAAATGCGTTTTGAACGGAATTATCAGGAGTTATGGCGAAACTATGTAGAAACCAAGCGACCCAACGATGGAGTTGTTTACGATTAGTTCCTATTTATCCGTGAAAGAATGAAATGAACTCAAACTAGTCACCAACGAAACGGTTAGACTTTGGAATAAGACTTCCTTCCTTTTTTTTTGTTGTTGTTTTGTTTTTGGTTTTGTTTAATTTAATTTAATTTTTTCTTAAACGAATGAAATCGTTCAAGACTGAATCAAATATATAGATCTTGAAAGTCGTACCGAAATCAAGTTGATTGTTATTTTATTTCGAAGCGAGGGCATGACTTTCTTGTCTTAGTTTTCACCGGCGCTGATCAAAAATTTCAAACATAAAAAATTGCATACCTGAGCTATTCTCGATCCTTTTTCATCTCTGACTTTCAATTCGCAGAGAATTGAGAAGTTTTCAATCACGGTAGAAACTACAATAACAACAAATAACACTGAATAATACAGTAGGCAAGCGTCGTGATATTTCATTTTGATAAACTTCAACATGAAGCAAGTTGAATTTATTCATGAATTGATTCATGATAAAATTAACAGCGTTCCATTCTCAGAGTTTTCGTACAGGATTAAAGAAATGTATCAAAGAACAGCCCTTTTGCTGTTCTAAGCCTTGCTCAATTACAAGAGTACTGAGCCCTAAAATCTTGGATCCGGCGCTTGCCAACGATTGTGTTTCCGTTCGGGAATTCAGCATAAATGAAGCGGTAAATTTTCCCAAAATACACCGAATAAACCAAGGGAAGGGACCAGGTTATCCTGGAAATGAGTTCTGAAATAATTCCAAACAGCACTAGCTCGTCTATGAGCGCAAAATTTATGTAAATCCCAGGCGTTTTGGTCGCGACGGGAAAACCAGCGTAATGACGTCTGAACTTATTGGGGAAAACGGCAACGCTAACACCGGAAGTCGAAATAGAGTCGTGTCCAGACTATCCGCGCGCTTTCCCGTTCTGAAATGACGTTCCTGTCCTCTTACTAAATCACTCTACTGTTATTCCACAATTACTTCGTTTTAACAAATTAGGTCATAATGTTGCTCGCATTTTCCCTCGCTCCTACCGTGCTCGGAAAAATACAACGCAACTCACAAAATAGTCGCGCGTCTTTTATGCTAAGCCGTGGAATGAGGTAGAGAGATTGAATAGCGTGAACTGTAATGCAAAGAGCTTAAGATTTTTGATTGACAAATTCGGCATCAGAAACTACCACTTCCTTATGATGGCCCAACCTACGAAATTTCTTATTTCCATATTTAACGAGGGTAAGCTTTTCTTAACACAAACAACCCTGTGAAGGTATGTCCTTTTCCCTGAAGCAAAAAAAATGGTCACAGCATGTTGATTACGACAGATTCCTTACACCTCTACGCTTTCGATATGATACTCGTTGGCTACTAGCATATCATCTGAATTAGTTGTCGTTCCAAACGCGCTTTAACGTCGAACCTTTTTAAGTTCCTTTGAGTATAGAGGCGTTTGCAAGAAACCTCTTTCAAATTGACGTATACCTGTAGTCAAGTTATACCCAAGAAGTTACGTACAATTGTTTGTTTATTTAAAATGATCTTTGATTCCTTTAGTCAAAGTTGTCAACAAGTCGCTTACGACTCATGTTTTGCATAACATTTTGTTTATAGAGTGATGTATTGGACAGACAGGGGCACTAACGCAAAAATCGAAAAGGCTGAAATGACGGGCAGAAAACGTGTCGTTATCGTTAGTTCAGGACTGTATCGGCCAAACGGTCTCACTCTTGACAGAAAGAAAAACTGCTTGTATTGGATCAATGCTGGGTACCGAAAAATAGAATATCTGGATGTGAATCAAAATAAGAGGGTGGTGCTGCTAAGTTCTTACAGCCTATATTATGCCTTTGGTTTGACTCTGCTCGGAGATAACTTGTACTGGACGTCGGGTTGGTATGGTTATGGTGTTTATCGAACCGATAAGGAGACTGGTAGCGGTGTCACCAATTTCATCAGCAGCACTGGATCGCTAAAAGGCATTCGTGGATATAACCTTAGTGAGCCCTTTCCAACAGGTGAAAATAAATTAAATGAGCATTATCGCATTTTGCACACATCTTTGAATACTAGCCCAAATTTTTCATAGTTATATAATTTGGAACTCCATTTGATCGTTTGCATTGCTCTCCATCATTTGTCCCTTTGTTTAGTTTAGGTCTCTTTTTGTTTGTCCACTCAGCAAACTAGAAGAGTCTTTGAAAGTTTTATTCCGTCGGAAGGCGTTATTCAAATTGTCGCCGCGTTACTCTTGTAAGTTCTTGAGTGATTCCTTCAGAGGTTGATGGAAGCAAGTTCCCATACATGCTCTTAAGTGTTACGAGGACTTAAAACTTGCAAAGCAGTCCGTCGGGAAATTTTTCAGTGGGTGGTTCTATTGCGCATGAGCCAATTGAAATATCAAGGCGCGGTCTCAGAGGAGTACAAAGTAAAGGCTATCCGGTTCACTAATGTTTCTCGCACGTTAATTTCTTGCAGTTGAAGGTGGTTTCCCCATTATGAGTATATAGCTAACTTTCATCATTTTACTCATATCATCCCTTTTTCGTGTTCTCTACATTTACACACGCTCAACGTGGTTGTGAGATTGAGTTAAGAAACTCTAACTAAGTACAGTGGCACTGCGTATCTATAAGTGCTCTGTGAATAATCCAGTTTACACCATTTTCGAAAAGTGCAGATAATTTCTCTGATTGTCTAACCTCTAGCACATTTTTGACACACATAGCTTATATTTTTATTGCGAAAATTTATCGTATTGGTAGTTAAAGCCTGCATTTGTTCATGTCGATGAGGTCACTAGTGTACCTGAGACACTAACTATTTACACTTTTTACGTGAGTGCATATGGAATCTTAATGGCCCAACCATAAGGGTGAATCATGTCTTTAGAACCCAAGCGTACACCCATCATTGAAATATTATGCGATGAAGGACCGAATGGCTGGCTTTAGAACCTTGTGGGCTATCATTAAGGTCCCAAAGAATGGCTCCACGATCCTGAAAACTTCTTTTCAAAATCCAGATCGTTTTACCATTAAAACTAGTGTCAGAATGTAGTAAATTAAACGATATCTTTCTTTTAACAGAAGGAAACTCTTCTTGCCTTGGTGATTGCAGTCATATTTGTTTGTTGTCTCCTAACGGAAGTACATGCGCATGCCCAGTTCACTTTACCCTTGAAGAAGATGGGAAGACTTGCAAACATGACGGTAATTAAATGCACCACAAACTCCTTAAAGATACAAGAATCCAAATTTTATTTTTATGTCATTTGTATTAAGAGCGTCATAAAGTTTCAAAAATCAAAATAAACATTTCAATTTCATGCATTTTCATATTTGCAGCATAGAGGGCCTCGGCCAATGAAGTGTTTTATCTGAAATAGCACGAATTCTAGACTGACGCCTGAAATCGATGCAGGGGTGTTATGCCACAGTGCCTAACATGTTGCAAGGATTGACCAAGCCACTACCAATAGGATACGTTTTTAGTCCTTGTAATGATTTAAATGCAAAGGGAAAAAGTAGTTATGTATTTGAAAAGGGAGATCACATGGTTGACTAAATGGTAAAGCCGGTCCTCTTCAACCCCTTAGCTACTCAAATACAATTTACATTATCAAAAATTAATCAGTAAATTTTTTTTGGCGTTAAAATTTGAATTTTTCAGCGCTTTTGTAAATCTCTTAATATCAGGTCCCTCTTGAACTAGATAGTTTGCTAAACTATTCTAAGGTTTAATAATTTACGGTTCTTGTTTTTAGCACCTCAGAAGATATTACTTTTTGCTGATGGTCGTCTGAGCCAAATATATACATTATCTCTCGACGAATCGAACACAAGCGCCAAATTGGTACCAATGGCACATATTCATCGTATGCGTCGACCTGCGGCACTTGATTTCGACAGTACAGAAGACAGAATATATTGGACGGATACAAGCTTGAATACAATATCTAGGATGTTTATTAATGGATCGTCTTCAGAGACTGTCATTTCCAGAGGAGTTTATTATCCTTATGGGCTGGCGGTTGATCCAGTAGGAAGAAATATTTACTGGACTGATTATTCTCTTAACAAAATTGAAGTTAGCAGAATGAATGGATCAATACGAAAAACCTTGATTACCCGAGACCTAGATAATCCACGAGATATAATCTTGGATATCGACAAAGGGTAAGATTATCTTTAGGTTTGCAGTTTGGCGGGGCGAGGAGGGGGGCGGAAACGCTGGTTATAAAGAATGAATTTGGTCAAAATTAATGAAATTTAAATCCCTAAAACTGCTCAGGAACAGCTTTTTGGAAGTGCTTGTGGATCAAAATTTTGTTTTGTCTGAACTACCAAATCTTAACTTTAGAAAACCTCAAACAGCACTTACCCACAGTAAATTTTCTAGCTAAAGCGCGACTCATCGATCACTTGCATTGTGAATTGTCTCCACCTTTTTCATACTCCTGCCTAATAAAGCTTAATTTTCTTGCACGTTTCGAATTGGTGCAAAAATTTGTCGTTTTTCATTGATTCATAGTATCACCGTCTTCATCTGTTCTAAGAATGGTTAATGTTGGAATGTGTCATCTCCCAATCAAAGTCTTTTTTTATGTCGAGGGAAATAAGAGTATCTTTTGCATCATTAATAAGATATTAGTTTACTTAAGTTGAGGCTTGTTTTCGACTCCGTCGCGAACTTAGTCTCGTAGGTTTCACAACTTGTAATAATCGATTCCCTCTGTTTTAATTAAATACAGTTTGATGTACTGGTCCGACTGGGGTACCAGCCACAAAATTGAGGTCGCTAGCATGGATGGAAATAATAGAAGCACACTGGTTAAAAGAGGGCTTTACTGGCCTAATGGGTTGACCTTGGATGGTGCTAATAACAAGCTTTATTGGGTAGACGCATGGTTTCATATGTTGGAATACTACGACTTACAGCGTCATACGATTACATCTCTGTTCCGTGACAGATATGTATTATCGAACCCATTTGGTTTGACATTGCTCGAAGATAAAATTTACTGGACCGATTCAAGTTCGGGTGTTGTTTATCAGTCGCCAAAAGACTCTCCGTCAAATGCAACCGTTCTCGTTAGCGGTTTGTCTCAACCATTGGATATACATGCCTATGACAGGAATCAGACTTTTCCAGGTATCAATTAGTCTTGATCATTTCTCAATTTCTCTCTCTCTCTCTCTCTCTCTCTTACACATCTGTTCGTTTCAATATATATTAATGATATGAAATAACCTCCAGCAGTTACACTATTTAACAAGTTTAATAATACAACCTCTCGCTATTTCTTTCTTTGTCGACTCCAGATCAGTCGCACCGGGAGACCACCGCTTGACCTTTCATTCCTTAATAATGGAAAAATATACATTCTCCGCGTACGTTTTTGCTAAGTGTCCAATTTTCACGATTATTTTCTATAAATTTTAAACTAACTAATATTTCTTTTGACTCTACTTTTAGACCATCCCTGCTCCTTGTCTTCTGGTGGATGTTCTCATCTCTGCCTTCTGAGACCGAGGGGATACAAATGCGCATGCCCCGACAATCTCGAACTGTGGAAAGATGAGAAAACCTGTATCCCACAGACATACAGTAAGACACATGCCACATTCTAACCAAACTAGTCAAATTCTTAACTCTATAAACTCTCATAATGTAAATAAAACAGATTTACTACGAGAAGATCCAATTCTTGTATTATCGTTAGAATTGCAGCGATACTCTCGCGTTACAGCGTTACTCTTGCGTTTCAATTTCAATTTCCTATCAGTTACTGCAGTGAATTTAAATGATGATTTTGCCAGTATTCAGCTCGCTGAGCTAACAGCATTGTTCGTTCAGTTTTTCAGAAATTCTTACTGTTTGCTGATGTCTGGAATGCCGAAATTTACATTCTCGATTTGGATGAATCCAATTTTTTGGTCAAAGCTCTGCCGATAAGAGGTTTCATGTATCGACCAGTTGCACTTGGAATGGACATTACAGATAATAGAGTGTACTGGACAGACGTCAGCCTAAACAGTATCAGAAGGGCATTCATAAATGGGACATCACCAGAAGTTCTCGTTTCTGTAAATGTGTATAATCCTTATGGACTTGCTGTTGACCCTGTGGGAGGAAACATCTACTGGAGTGACACTTCCACCAAAAGGATCGAAGTCTGCAGAATGGACGGAACCATGAGGAAAGTATTGATCGACAAGGATCTAGACAAGCCAAGGGATATAATTCTTGATCTTTCTAAAGGGTAAATACTTTTACCTAGTCATTGTCTCTCACAGGTGATTCCTCTGTAATACACAACGCATCCTGCACTGCGCATCCTGCATTGCGCATAAAATGCGCAATGCAGGATGCGCATAAATTGCGCATAAAATGCGCGCAATTACTCATTTGGTGAGTAATCGCGCGCATTGTGAGAACATGGTATTTGGTTTTTTTATTCATTGGACGAGGTCACTAGGAACAATGGTCTTTTGCACTTTAATGAGCACGTTAACCTATATTTTTTATTAGATGATCTTGTTGAACAAATTATTTAGGAATCACGTTATTTGTTGTACACTCTATTGCAAAAAAAATTAGTATATTTAAAAAAGAAGCTTACTACTTTAGTTCTATATTCCCATGCATGCCTTTAGATCATTTTGTTTTTTTCACAGACGAAAGCCTGTCCTGCCCAGGAAATAAAAGGGAAAGAAACAAACCTTGTAACCTTTGTGTTAAGAATAGCAATTTGTTTTCATTATTAGTGGTCTCAAGACAGTTTCAAAAATAGTCTTCTAAACGAGGGTCTTGATGGAGTTAACCATTAGCCGTTAGGCGTAAAATTGACCGATTTAAACCGACAGTCGTGAAAAAAAGTTAACCGTAAACATTTTTCCCTTTTACAATCCGTCATTATGTGTCATTTTGGGCTAACGGCAGCCGTGAAATGGCCAAAATTTTAACCGTTAGGCGTAAACAGTTGGTGTGCTCTCAGCTCCTAGCTCTTAGTAGGTAAGTTTCAGCTAACGAGAGTCTGCCGAACGGTATATCAGTGCCAATTTGTTTCAAGAAAAAATTCGCACACAATTATGTCTAACTAAGAGACTAACCCCAACCAACCTTATAATCCCCTGGTCTCACTTTACTGATGTACCACAAGAGCTGTGTAAGAGATTCCATCACAACCTCTTCTTATTTCGCCATCAGCCATTATCGTCAAGCGGGAACATTTGCCATAGATATGCGACTTTCTTGATTTTTGCTGCTTTTAAGGTTGATGTACTGGTGTGACCGGGGTACTGTGCCTAAGATTGAAGTTGCTAACATGGACGGAAGCAGTCGGCAAATATTGGTAAAAAGAGGATTATACTGGCCAAATGGTCTCACTTTAGATGAAGCAAATAATCGGCTCTACTGGGTAGACGCATACTTTAACGTTCTTGAATACTATGATTTGGAACGTCACACAATAACAACTTTGATGGAAGATAGTTCTAAATTACCATATCCGTTTGGTTTGACGCTGCTCGAAGATCACTTGTACTGGACGGATCTTGGATTAGATGTTGTTAATCGAGCGGAAAAGAAGACACTTTCAAACATGACAGTTGTTGCCAAGGGCCTTCGTCGACCCATGTATATACATGCTTATGATAGGAATAAACCTCTCCCAGGTAAACAACTTCTAACACCATAGCTTTATGTCTTTTTTGTCTTCTCCTGAGTCACCTCCTTTAGAGACATTTTGAAGTGACCTCCATAGTGCCGTCAACTTTAGGGAATGGCTATTTTTTTTCAGCCTTCTGGATACTGTGAAAAAATCATTAATAGATTCCTTACTACTAATCTACTCAACTGAAGGCGTTTTACCCCAGAAATAATTTTGTGCAATTATCAACTTTTTGAAAAAGAGAGATGGCGTGACGGAATATGAAAAATAATGAACATTAAGAGCATGAAAAAAGGTATATATTCTTTATAATTCGGAATATTTCTAGACTCATTCTTATCTTGCGTTCTAGCTTGAAATTAAATCCGTAATCATACAGTTCGCGGATAAAGCTCAACAAAGCTTATGTTCTCTCAGTTTGTACAAGTTATCATGATGGTTTGAGGCAAGGAATGAAAACCAGTAACTTAGTTTCCAATCAATGGTTAACAGACACTCACCAAACTACTGTATACATAGGTATACTAGGAGCTGGAGGTGGACTCGTACTTTTTCGTATAAATTTGGAGGAGATCAAATCAAAAGCTATCAAAAAAAGGAAACAGGTTGCCTTGCATTTCTCATAGTTATGAGCGCTTGATTATATCGAAGTTTCTTCGTCAACAGATCACCCCTGTTCTAAGTCCTATGGTGGGTGTTCTCACCTGTGCCTTTTGAGACCGGATGGATATCGGTGCTCGTGTCCAGACTACCTGCAAACCGGTGAAAATTGCTCTAGTTCTGGTAAGTGGTGTATTTGAGGATGGCCATTTAGTTTCGACGAACTATATCGAGAATTTCAGAGTCAGATATACCCTTGTCAGACGTTTTCCTAGTCAGGTCCACTCAAAACAAAGCAACGACAGTTGAACAACAGCTTTCTTTACTCTACTAGTAAGCTCAGTACATGCCGTCCGATTGCAAATGACAAACAATGTGCTCGTACAGTTTCTTCGGGCATCATCTTTTCCTCTAAGCCACAATTTTTCTTTAAGCGTCGTGTGCCGAAAGTTTTTTCCTCTCATAACAAACAACGTCAATGAGAATTTCCCTTCCAAAAGGGTTATTTTTTATTTAAAGGGGGTAAGTCTCTAAAGAAACTGTGGTGCTGCGTCCGTGAAAGAGTATAACAGGTTAATTTAGTATTATCTACTGAGTTGATAACTTAAATTGGCCACCGTAAAGAGTTACAAAGCTAACCTTTCGAGCGTCAGCCCTTCCTCAGAGCGAATGACGAATTATTGTTTATTTATGTCTAATCAGAATCTTTCTTCTCCGAAATCAGTCCACCCCTATTCTCCACCTTCTTCAAGTACGCCTGAAGCCACAACAACACAGCAGTCAGCCACCACACAGCAGTCATCCACCACAGGGCAGTTATCCACCAGACAACAGTCATCCACCAGACAGCAGTCATCCACCACACAGCAGTCATCCACCACACGGCAGTCATCCACCACACGGCAGTTATCCACCAGACAGCAGTCATCCACTAGACAGCAGTCATCCACCACACAGCAGTCATCCACCACACAGCAGTCATCCATCACACAGCAGTCATCCACCGCACAACAGTCATCCACCACACAGCAGTCATCCACCCGACAGCAGTCATCCACTACACGGCAGTTATCCACCACACAGCAGTCATCCACCAAACAGCAGTCATCCACAATACGGCAGTCATCCACCAGACAGCATTTATCCACCAGACAGCAGTCATCCACCACACAACAGTCACCCACCAGACAGAAGTCATCCCCCACACAGCAGTCGTTCACCACACAGCAGTCATCCACCAGACAACAATCAACTCCTCTTGGTCCTTATGATTGTCGTTCGAACAAGTGTAAAAATGGAGGATCTTGTGTAATTCCTGGTTATTTTTGCGAGTGTCCGAAGTATTATGTTTGGTACCTCTGCCTTGTTTACGTTGGTAAGCGTAAATGGATTAAATTGAGCTTATACTCTTGTTTATCAAGCCGATTTGTTGATACTAGGTCATCTGTTCCCTTGTACCACAGAGAATCAGTATGCGGGGAAGATGGTAGAGATGTAAATGTAATCTATCCGGGCTGTGCTCTGCTGAAGTCGCATTTTCGTACAGGCTAGATTGAAAGAATTCCTATTCTAGAGCGGTACTAAGGATATCATATTCCCCTTTGTGTCAGTTGTCATACAAGATCACCTAGTGTTAAAAAACACGAGTATGGACATGGGATGCAAGTCATAACATAGGTTCTATTTCAATGTAAATGTTCGCTATAAAACTCAAAATGAAAGAAAAGAAGCTGCCCAGAAATAAGATCAGTGCTGGCTAGAAGGACTTCATCACATCTTGTGAAAGGTTTGATACCTCTCAGTAACATCATTGTAATTGTAAGAAGAATTTTTAAGAATGCTGTTCTCATTTTAGGTTCAAGCGCCGTAGAAGTAGAGATAAATCTTCAAAACGAGGTAAGGATGCTGCGTTTTGTTTCGTGCTGACAACCTTCCCCCCTCCTCTCCTCAGCGTAACCAGCCTTGCATTTTTCTTTTAACCATAGAACGTTCCGTAGGAAGTGCAAGAACGGTGAATCAAGGTTTTACTGGCAGAAGAAGTCAAGAATTTTTATTTCTTTTCCTTTGTTATCCCGACCAGCTATTTTAACAATGACTGATTCCCTATTTGGTTGATCAATATCCAATAACCGTGTGAGCTCTAGAAATAAAAATGGCTACTGTTTCCTTACGAATACATACCTAGATCTGCGAAGGATTCGAACTGAGTTTCCAATGTCGGATCCTTTGCTCTGTCACCAAGTAGGTTTGTTTCGGTGGATTCGCTTTCATCTCCTCCACTTTCTACAAACAACAGCTCTAAATGAATGGCGCCGGGAGCTAAATAAACCGCAAGTCATGTTTAACTTGAACGAACTTTTCATTAGATAGTACAATCCTGTTTTTATTTTATTGAATTCTGTTTAGAAACAATGGATAACGTATGACTTCCAGGCTGCAGTGGCAAAAGCTTGCACAAGTTTTTTTTGCGTAGATGAGGAATGTGGAAGGTAACGGTAGTATCTGATTAATGTATTTACACTCCATGCATTGGAGAGTTGGCCTTCTTCATTTAAAAACAACTTGAAAATTGAGTTCCTTTATCTGATTGACAAACGCTCGAATATTCGTAATTTTACATAAGAGGAAATTTATGACGGTCCTACCAACATCAACTCCTCTTTCAGATCAGATATGTCAATCAGCGAATTCCCCCCACCACCGCATTTTAGGCTTTTCCTAAAATAAGTGTGACTTAATTTCTTAAAATTCACCTGCAGCAAGTCAAAACGAGATAGTAATTCAGAAAAGGAAAAGAAATTCGTGGCTTCCGACGCTAAAATACTTGGACTTTCCATTGGTGGAGAAAATATTTTGAAAATAGAGGTAGCTGTTTTATTTCCATTTGTGGAAGGCCAGGTTCCTGAACCTGTACCTCGTGCAACACTGGACCAAATACTCCAAAAAAATGAAGAAAGTCTTGGGGCAGCCATTGGAGGCACAATTATCAGGATCGGTAATAACATTTTTAACCTTTATCGCGCTTCTCAGGAAAAAGGCAATAAGCCAGTTTTTTTTTTTTTAATAATAATATGAAAGCAAGACATACCATAGAGTTTGAGATCTATTTTAGGTTAATGGACAACTAGCTTGTATCTACCCCGGGTTCCTTTGCTATGGAGAACCAAACGTTTCAGTCACTAGACTCCGACTTCTACATCAATAGCTGCAGAGTTTCAGAAATTCAGGGAGTTCAAAGCTTGTAGTTTGGTCAATGACGAGGACAAAAAGGAAGCGATTTGGTTACAAACTGAGCTAATTCTCATAAGCCATCCCTTCCATATGTTATCATAGAAAATTAAAGTAAGACTACCTTGAAAAATTTGCGCTGATTTAAGTCACGTTTATTTATTTTATTATTTTTTTGCTTGGCCTTTATTCTTGAGTCATCAATTAGGTGGTTAACTTAAGCTTATTTTTGTGACCCTGATTCCCAGTCAACGAGCCGGAAATTCTCGATAGTTATCGGAACATTTTGACGATTTCAAAATAGAATAGATTTTCATTTCGCCTACTCTTTCTTCACAAAGCCGATATCACAGTCTCTATATGAAGTGCTCCAGTTGGTGTGAATCCTTCCCTTGTACACTAGCTGTATACTAAGTTTGGGGACGATTATTGTACAATATCACTAAATTTGTGTCAAACATTGCAGGGCTTGTTTTTTTTAATACCATGTTTGAGGTACATGCGGTATATGAGCTTAGATACCAGGGCCTGGGCACCAATCAAAACTCAGGACTTGATATGTATCACAGATAGTTGTAAACTGTTAAACGATGATCACTTTCTACCTTTTTTCAAGGCAAACGACAGGTAGAGAACCCAACAAATACTGAAAGGTCTACTCAAGATAAAGAGACGTTTAACGTGCCAATTGTTGCTGGGTTAGGAGGCACTGTTGTTCTGTTGATGTTAATCGTGGTATTCTTCGTTTGCCAAATGATGCGGTGAGGCTTTCGAAAGAAGTAACTTTATTTTATTTATTAATCAGTCAGTCGACTAGTTATTATGAAGTAGGCCCACATCTTTTGGCTTTAACATTTACAATCCTGTTAATCTTTTTCGTCCTTGTCATTCTCCTTCCTTCTTATATTTCATTTTGCACCTTCTTGCGCTTTTGGAGTCTCAGTGTATCCCAGAAAGCTTTTCAGTATTTTTTAGTTTCCTTCTATTGCAAATCACCTACTCCTGCTACTGCAAAAATATCACGAAACATCGCGACGTAGCCCCTTGGAGGTTGGAGACGTCCCAATAAACTGTAACTGCATTAGAAATATCATTTACTTCTTTACTGAAAATGGAGAGAATAACTATGACAGAAGGGCATTTATTTAGAAGGGACTGTTGTTGTGGTTGTTTTCTCTTTTCTTAGGAAATGTCTGATTTGTCTTACAGGAAAAGAAGTCGCACAGGGAAAAGAAAAGACGAAATCTATTTGGACAGTGACTTTGCGCACCCCAGAGCCAATTTCACTGTTACATTTGAAAACCTAGGGTATGCCGCGGAAAACACTACGCATGAATCCGTCCACCACAGAAGTGGATCGGTGACATCCAGACAAGAGCAAGTCAACGGGGTTGGATCCTTGGACAACAACAACGCAACCCAGCAAGTAACCGAAAAAACTGTTATGAGTAACCCAACCTATGGTGTGCCATTCACTAAAGATCCTGCAATCATCGAAGATTCTAAAAATCGCTATGCCACCATCGAGGACAAGAAGACAGAGTCATAGGCGAAAGGAGCCGGGGTGACTGATAAAGTTAATTACGTAAATCTTCTAGAAAAGCACGTAGGAAAGTGATAGTAACATGCTGTTGCGAAAGTGAGTTAGGTTTCCCTAGCAACTGCATTTTTTTGTTTGCTTCTGTAGAGAACACCAATCAACGGCTCTAGTTACAGGAAACATGCCGGAGTTGATATTTCCACAACATTCCTATAGGCTCTTTTTGGGCTAGATGTTGGAATAAAGAGAGATGCTTTCAATTCCTTTGGTCGCAAGCTTGACACAAATCAATTTTTTTTCTTTTTTTTCATTTTCCCTCCCAAAAACCGACAAAAATGCGTATTTTTCCCTCTACACTATTTAGGGAAACTTGTTAGTTTGAATTCACCTTTAATGTTACTTTAGTTTGCCGTACGATCCCTCTTGAGTTAGGAAAAGGATAGGGTCACTATAAAAATCTGATCTTCATGAATTATTGAAATAACTAATATTTTTTTTCATTATGACGAAGCTACGCTTTAGTATCCAGTTCTTGGCGGCGGTAGAATTAAATAGAAATCTGCTGACTCAGAAAAAGTATGCGGCATACTTTTTTTTTTACTATTAGACGCTTAGCTCAATTACCGCCGTCGGATGACGGCTCCAGTTGAAGAGAGTTTGGGTGGTATTACCTCTTGAATGATTGAGAAGGATCTCCCTTGCTCTCTTTTATGCAATAGTTGTTTGTCATTAGGGCGGCAGAGAAGAAAGAATAAAGAAGTTTTACTCTTACTAGAATTCACGATATTCCTAATCCCAATATCAATGTTGCATGCATTTTGAAATTGTTAGATGCACCTTTCTGTTTATGTTGCTATAGCAAATTAATTTGACTTTTGCTTTTTCGTGGATTAAGATCTTTTTTATCGAGCGATTGGCTTTTTTTCGTGCTAATCTACTTATTAGTTTTTACATATATTCATTCCTGGTGTGAAATCCTCGTTAATTGAGCAAAATAAAGTTTCTTGAGTTATTTTAATGTCATAGAAATTAAATATTTTTTCCATCAGTGTTATTTTAAATAAAAATAATCACAGTTAGAGAGAAAAGATCAAAGATCTTGGGTTAATCATGTTTCAATGTTTACTTTGCATGTTATCATCCCTGTTGATGTAATTACCTAGCTTAATATCTTTCCCAGTTCGTTCATTATATAATTCCTATCTATTACTCGTATTCCGTCAGTGTTTCGTTTTGCTTTCTCATTTTTGCTTTCTTTGATCGCGGCCTCTGAAGGAAATCTTCTCATTCCCTATTCTGTCTCTTTCTCGCTTCCTTCTGCGCTGGGCCGATACAGCATTCCATTTTCCTTTTCTTGCACTTTATTTTGCGTTATTCATCATATCTATTTGTTTTCCTTTTACCAACTCTCTACTGCCATTTGTGTTCTTGTGTTTCTCCTTTTGCCGGCATCCTATTTCTTCCCGCCCTCCTTGTAAGAAACTAATGGAAGCTCATTTCATTTTAATTACAATAGTCCTTTCAAAAAAAAAAAAAGCTGAAAGGATTGTGATCACTGCAAACAAATTGAGACGATGGGCTCGTTGACTTATTGTTCGGATTGTGTCCGTTAATATTGCGTGACAAGTTCGTGACAAGTTAACTTGAAGCCTCACCTTACGCAAATAATTAGTGTACCTCATGTGGAAACGTCTCTGGGAAGTTTACGAATTTTGGAGCGAGCGTGACAGTTTTGTTGCTAAAACCAAACGTTTCCCAAATAATTTAGTTTTCTCGCTCCACAAACCGTACAATTTATCATGCCTTGAGCACGAGAACGTGGACTCAGAGTCTCTGCTGTCAAGTCCTTGAGTATCGTTTAGAAAGTCCGGAGATCTATTATGCTGAATACTTCGATGTCTTGTTTCGTCGTTGCTTTCGTGTATTATATTCAGCAAATGATCAATCCCCATTTCTCTAAACTGTCACGGCCACAGCTAACTTCAGCCCCCCAGCAGTCGTAGTTACTCTAGTAACTGTTTGCACCGCCATATTTTTCTTCTTCAAAGTCTCGTACTGTAATATGAAAATATTTTGCAACGGCCCATCCTTTATTTAAACACTCTAATAAGTTTTGCTCCTTATATTTTGGTTTCAGCCTTTTAATCTGCTTTGTCTGTTGGATACGGGAAATGCTGAGTTTGAAATTTTGCGGATTGCTTCGATGAGTTACTAACGGGAAATTATATGGGGTTTGTTTACATCCAACAGAGTAAGATTAGAACACACACTCACATTTATAGCATTCGTTCCCTTTTGTGCTTCTCCACTAGTTATTCGTCATCGTTCACAGATGCACGGAAGCCAACATTATTCCGGTAGTGACGATTACTTTTGCCATATAGATTTGAATTGTTACACGTATTCGTAATTTCGATTAATGGGGCATTTTCCCTAACATAGGTACATGCATTCTTTCTGAGGTTAGAGATGATTAAAGAAAAGGATAATAACTCGTCGAGGTCTACAAAATGATGTCCATAATTGTTGCAAGGGGTTTTTGATATTTGATCCATGTTGGTAATTTCAGAGGTCTTTCAATGTTTGAGTTACTCCTATTTAACCCTTTAACTCCCAGAAGTGATTAACGTAAAAAATTCTCCTTACAATATCCATACATTATTCAGCAAACAGGTAGTGTGGGGATTAGCTGTACTTTCTGGTTGTTTTATGTTATGGGTACAAGGATAAGTTACAGCCAGATAAGTGACTTGGCTCAATTGTAGACTTTACCTCAACCCATTTGTTTCTGTTTTCTTTTTTTTTTTCATGAGGGAATAAAGGTATAGGGTGGGACCCAAAAGTCTTGGCAGTATCAGCTATTCTAATTACTCCATGTTACAGTTCTGGTTATATTATGAATCTATAGCTCATGGATCACTATGAATCTGGGTCATACATATTCAAATTGTCTGGAAAATGTTGCTTTGAAAAGGTTTATTCTAGGGGTTCACTATCATTCTTTGGGGGAAGAAGGCTATAATTGGTGAGGTACTTACTGCCTTAGGAATGGCCAATTTAAAAAATAATGACGATGAAAAATTCTCACAATGAGCTAACCAATTTGTTCTTTCAAATTTCTTAGTAAGAAATATGTTTATTTTTTTTTTTGGGAGGTGAGGAGTTAGGGGTGAATCTCCTGCATTGATGTTTCTTCCGTTAAGAAGAAGTTTGATGGGCAAATTATGCAGATTTTATTCTTAACTGTCACTTAGCGAGTTTTAAATCTTATATTTGCTCTTCCTGCTGTAGATTTCCCGGTGCTCCATCACTTGTGTTTATTATTGAAAAGAGCTATTAACCAAATAAACCATAGTTAACAATGTATGTGACCTTTCTTTGTTTTTGTGATTTGAAGGCCTACAACAGTGAAGCCTTATATGAGTTTTGGTTGTATTGGTATACCAATTTACAAGCTTCACCATAATTTTAACAGGTTAGAAAATTCTACTTTCGACTTGCACTAGATCTCTTTTGTTAATTAAGGCTGATATTTGCAAAGCATCATCTAGCACATATTCGTTTTAAATTTTTTCCTCTTGGCTTAATTTATTACACAGACAGAGATGTTCAAAGTAACTTCGTTAAAAGGGGAATGCATTACTAAACATTACAATAAATCTATATTCAAATGATGAAATATCCATCTATTATGACTTGGCCTTTGATCAAATCACGAAATTTTCCTTCTGTTGTTGTAGTATTTCAAATAAACACCCAGAAAATAGCGAAAGAGTCGCAAGTATGGAAAAAATAAAACCGAAAGTTGACTTTCGGGCCAAACTCCGATGCGTCGTTAGAAAAAATTTGTTTACAGAAGACATTTGTCACATGATAAAGCAGAATTATGTTTTGGCAGAGATCAAGTTATTGCCTGGTCAGCGTTTCTTTTTTTGGGACCTGCAGATAAGGATATGCAGATCGAAACCGAAGATACACCAAGCGTGAAATTAAATTCAATTCAATTCAAGTGTCAACGGTCTCATTGGATAATCGGCCAACAAAAAAGGATAATTGCAGCATATTTTAATAATTTCTAGGCCGTGTAGTTACGTTTTATTGGTTAAGCAAAGTAGAGCTCATCAGAGCAGCATTGAACGTCATAGACACAATATCAGGGAAATCTTTCAAGGAGGTTGTTTGAAAGACTTAGTCATCAATCAAAGGTGAATTATTTTACCCTTTTTCGTCAGATCTCGCCAGGTTCCTGTTGTAGTAAGGGGCTTTTGGTCCAATTCCAGTCGATTAAGTGTTGAATTTTCGACAACTTGCGCCATGATTTTTAACTTGCGTTTCCTTTGTCTAAGATAGCAAAATTAGGCCGTAGTTTTGGTTTATTTAAATTCAGATTTCTCAAAGACAATATCATTACCAGAACTATAGCTGAAACCGTAAAATTCTGCGATACGACTTCGGAATTAGCAATCTTGCATTGTTGATGCTCTCGCGAGGGATCTAAAGAAGCGAAAGAGTAACAACGTTATTTTTAAATTATTCGCTAGAAACAATTGCATGTGATTACTCTTTTTAGCGTTCCTGAGTGATCTAAATTAGATAGATAATACTAGGATGATTACTTAGGTGGACATTTCTTATAAAAGCTTTTTCTCGCTCTAAATCGTCACATCCATTTGCGAATGAGAAAAACTTTGTTAAACTAGAAGCCTTGCTGGTGCCCTCGTGAAGTCGAAAAACTCGGTCTGGCTCGGGTTGTGTTGTATTTTCGAACGCTTCCTCAGGGTAAGTTTGAATGCAAAATGCAAACAGTAAAGGATTTACAATCCTTGAGTTGAGGCTCATACATCAGTTTATTATTGCACGCGAACTGATTTTAAATTGATCTTTTCACCTTCGTTGCCAAAAAATGAATGAACGTATCCCCTAAATTGCCTTCAAGTCACTAAATTAGTGATGAAGGAATAAGACTGAAGAATTTAGGTCGGACAAATGAGCAAGAACAAAATTTTGCTCCTTTAACAGTATTATGCTAAGCTATTCAACGGAACTGGGATTTATATTTATGGGGGTAATACTTCCGGAATAAACAACAGTATTACATGCTGATGCTTTCATTTGAGTCCTACAGTAACGATAATTCTGGATCTAGTATGATATCTCTTCTTCACTAAAGTCTAAATGAGCAATATTTTCTAAACTGACCTAACTTCGTTTAAGAAAGATCATTTTACATGATCATAACTTGTCGTACATGTATTGCGGGATATTTCTTCTTGTCTGGGTCGTTATTTGTTCGCCGAAAAAATCACCATCAGGTAAGCTAGGCAGAATTACCAACACTCTTTAATTAAATTTTAGAGATAAAAAACAACATGAGCCCAATACCTATTCCTCGATCCTATCGGTAAGAATTCAGTTTTTCTACGATGATCTTCAATCCCACCTCTGTAGGTGCTAAAGCTGACTGATATCCCTTCCCCTGAGGGTATCGCTCTTTCATACCGTCACGTATTCACTTAAGATGAGTATAAAAAAGAAAAGGAAGAAAAATCCTCCAGAAGCGTTGGAAGGGTAAGCAGCCCTCCGCTCTCTTCCGAATCCTCGATCAAGCTGTCCTTTCTGTGTATTAGTTGCAGATTTTTCCGTTGGTAAAGGAAGAAAAATGTCGAGATCTCTGTTCTGGAAGACTTTGTCGTTCTTGAAGGGGCCTTGTCAGGCAACTGGTGTTTCAACGCTGTCGCGACCTGCAGTAAGTTCAGAAACAAGCACAAGTCCAGAATTCATAAGTTTTGAAAACTCACCGTCCTCTTTGGGTCCTGAAAAACCGTGTTAGAAAGCGTGGGTGGGGGGGGGGAGCAAAATTTTCAGCGTGAAATTATTATACTGATTCCTCTGACGTAACCGCGGCAACTGTAATCTACACCTGGGAACACGACACAAGAATGCGGTGATATTATCTATCAGTTTTTCGAATATCAACCAAGTTCATGATATCTGGCGTAAAATTACCGTGAATCATAGAAACAAGTCCACCGCCAGGGATGTGATCTGAGTTCGAGATTTACAGGGTAAAATTTACAATCATATACTGAATCGAAATGCACAGCTTGGGAAGTGACCAACGTTCGAAGCATAGAGAGTAAAAGAAGAGTAAGTAACACCGTAGAGGGGGGGGGGCAGAATGGGTTATACCTAGGGACTAGACATTTTTTATTCTCAGGGGGGTCGGAGGATTTCGATTGTGTCGCAATAAATTTTATCAAACCCCTCCCTAAGGCTCTGTAGTATTCTAATGACCCCCTCTCACTGACAATTGATTTTCTTTGGTTCCCACTTTTATATTCTATTAGCGACGACCGACCCCTCCGACGAAAACCATTTGATCCCCCAAAATTCTCCGACCGCTCCCCCCCCTTTTATTTTTTTATTTTCAGGCGACTAAAAAAATAACTGTTCCTTGGTTGCATTACAGAATTTCACGCCCAGGGATGTGTCCTCCACTAATGATCTTTGCTCGATAGCTTTTTTTTTTCAGAACTTTGCTGGTCATCATAACAACCCCGCACCCGACGCTAAGCAGAGTTCCTTCGTGAAAATAAATAGTTCATTGTGGCACCGTGCATTTTCTTCCGCAGGCTGTGAGTATACCTGTTCAACTGATTCCGTCGAGTTATTTTGCAGTTACTCCCATTATTCTTAATGTACTTAATATTCCACAGGTGACTTGAGTGGAATCTGGTACAACCAGTTTGGTTCAAAGATGCAAATCATCCAACTGGAAGACGGAGAATTGATGGGATTTTACCTCAACTGTGCACCTGGTTCTAAACCTGCCAAAGAAAACTTGACTGGTTTTGTGGGAAAAGACGAACACGCTTCTCGATTTGGCTTTACCGTCCTTTTTCAGGTAAATAAGAAAAAATTACATTGTTTTTGCAGGAGTCTTACTGGTCATGGTCAAACTTTGTAACCTCCTGGTTATTGTGCTGGACTCATGTTTGAGAATTTGTTGTTCTGTGTCAGTGGCTAAGATACTTGACCCCCACAGTGCCTCTGCCCTTCTAGGAGAATACAGTGGTTTCGAAGAACTGTCTGAGAAGATTGAGTAAATGTTTGAGGGGGACAGGGAGGAGACCAGCTATGGACTTACACACTTTCAGAAAGAGTAGAAGTATTCCTGGTCGGTATGAAACCGGGATAAACTCCGACAGAATGGACACTGAGCTTTTGTGCAGATTAGAACCTTTTTGTCTTTTTATTATTCGTGTTACTAATACTTGGTCCGAACAGCATTGAGGGGCGGAAGTAAATTGCTGAGCACTGCATTTCATTTCTCCCCACCAACAATCTGTTGGAGAAACCTGGCAGATAAAATTTAAACATGAGATGCAACTGAAACTTAAGTGCAAGTAACTACTGCATAAACCTGGCTGATCTAGCGAACACATGTAATGTTATTTTTTCGCCCATGATCGAAGGAATAACAAACAAGGAAAGTGCTGACTTAGGAAGTCTTTTTTGATATAGTTTGGCTGGCTTTGAGGCTCTTTGTTTTCCGTTATTATGATGCTTGCAGATCACTCTATCGAGAATTTGACGTTAATATCTCATCAGTTTGACAAAGCGAGAGGTTAACATGTCGTCTTCATGACCAGTGAAGTAAGAATTGACTACATTTTTTAAAAAATTTTGCTGTGTAGAATGAATGGTATACCACTACCTGGACCGGACGGTGCATCACAGAAGAAGGCGCCGATGGTGAAGAAGTTCTGTTGACTAACTGGATTATGACCCCCAACCCAGAAGATGGTGCGCAACACCTGGAAACCATTCATGTCGGCCAGCATCGCTTTACAAGGAAGCCTCAGAACCCTGAGAAGTTGACTTCTTTTGACGATTTGCAACCGGAGTGTCAGGGCTGGATGTTAGACTACTAAGCGTACCCTATTTGAGTAGTGCTTCTCATTAGATTGTGCACACGGGTCCTCTCGCTTAACACTGTTCAACTCCTCACAGGGCTCCTGTCTCACAGGGCTCTTGTCTCACAGGGCTCTTGTCTCACAGGCCTCGAACTAGCTAAAATGAAACAGCAGAAGAGTTTCTTTAGACACCGTCAGTGTTCACCACTCTTTTCGATTTGTTATAGTTTATGTGGCATGGTTCATCACAAATTCCTCGTTCATCATTTCAACTCTAGATCTTGAAACAGTTTGGAGCAATTCAGTGAGTGAAGCACAAAGTCAGACATTCGAAACTTCAAAAGCAACCACGGCCAATCCTGAAAACTGAGAAATTACTCAGACATTTTTAACTGAAAACTTCTGTATTACTCCCTCAGAAATATAAATTGTACCTAGTTTTGAAACTATTCTTAACGGCATGTATTCCATATAATGCATTTCAGATCTCCCTTCGTGAGAAACTATCAATGGCTCTGGCATCCAATCTTGATTCATTCAAGTAAAACATCAGGAAAATGGATACGTATTAAAGGTTACTGAGCCTGTGCTATGTTATATGCCTTAAGGTTTTAATTTACTCGCTTAGAAATACGACTTAAGTGTATGCGACGTAGGTAGGTTTGAAGCCGTATGCCCGACGGCATATTCTTTCGGGCACCAAGTCCTCCATTTGTGCAAAACTAACAGTACGCTAGTTCCGACCAAACTATGCAGCCTTAATTCATTCAAGCAAACATGTGACCGTGTAATGTTTTGGGCTAAAAACGTTTGTTGTACAGTAGATAGTTTTTTAAATTTATTTTGATAAGATTTTTACCGGTATATTATTTTTTGATTTGACATATTTTTGCACTTTAAAATTTTTTTCCATCTCGTTGTGAAATTATGAGTTTCTTCAATTAGTTTCATTAAATTAATTATATTGACGTGCACTTTAATAAAGTTGTTGTTATACAGTCTCCTGTAATGATCGATATCAATAACAGCCGCTCATGAAGGGTAAAATTTTACACTGACACGGGGTCCTCTTGGACTACTGTTTTTCTGGGGGGGGATGAATTGATTATTTTGCATGGGAAAAAGATCCTTTGGGATAAAATTGGCGAAACCGCTGTTAAATGGATTTCAGTCGCTAAAATAGGTGAACAATGGGCAAGAACATGGGTGAAATCGTCATTTAGCTGTAATTCTAAACTGTCGTTCAAAGTTTTCCTTGAAATATGCCAAAACATTCCACAGGACCTTGGATTTTTCAAAAAATCCTTGTATTTTCAATCCATTTATACCCGGGAAATCTCTCCAAAGAGTGTCTTGGCCAATGCATGTTCTGGCTCCCTTCTCTCACCCATCAGACAATGATCCATAAGATTAATAAGAAGCATCGGAAAACGGAGAAACCTCTGCAAGAATGGGCTTCAGTCACCGATGGCTGAACAGTAGGCTTGAGCATGGGTGAACTCGTTATGTAGATGTAATTCTTAATTCTTTGTTCAAAGGCGTACAACAGGTTTTCTTGAAATCGTCAAAAAGAGCATGGGATCTGCTCCGTGCAGTCGAACGGCGGACAGCGATCTATAATTATCTACTTTTAGAGTTTTAGTGTACCCATTGAAATTCATGTCACAGTAACACGCGCCATCGTCTAATAGGCTGAGTGTAGGGGAAGTTTTATCCACCGGCATGGTTACAGCGTGGAGAGAGTAAGGAAATAGAGATCGCTTCCCGGCCATTCCGTCAACCTTTAAGGAAAATATTGAGTAAGGAAACTCTAAACAGGAAATACTGAACCAAACAGTGAGAACAACTTGCCTAACCTTCTCTCAAAGGAATGCAAAACCTGCTGGGACATTCAGGAGGTTTTTCGAGAAACTGTTCACAATTGACAGTTAACTGTTTGACAATTGTTCTTTTAAAGTTTCCTGACAGTGATATCGATGTGTCTGCACAGTTATGTTCCCTCCATGTTTTAAGAAGTTCTGGGGCCGACAGAGTGACTGAATTAAACGTTGTTGTCACTAACCTCGTGTTGCCGGCGCGTGTTGTCTGCTTGCAGAGCGTGACGTATTTGCTTTGTTAGTCGAAAAGTACTGGGAATTAGTTTCAAGAAAATCCGACATGGCGTCGTAAACAATGAAACGAATCGCCGATTTTGATACCATAATAATGGAAAAAAACGGTATTCTAAGGATCACATGCCTTTCAGTACATGTAAGCACTTGTCTGATGACGTTTACATTGAAGAAATGGCGTTACAGCGGCTGGAAGACTTTGAAATGGAGACCACGTGTGAACGTGCAAATCAAGTGCAAATCAACTGTCAAAGGTAATTACGGAATTGGTCAAATAACACTAATTGAAGTGCATTTTTTTCTTTTAATTTCCGCTTCCTAATATTTTTTAGTTGTAAAGTAAGCTAGTATTCTTACTATAATTTCTGTTTCATAATTGAAGTAACTGGGAATATGTATCGTATTACTTCCGCTGGATGGGATGCTTGTCCACTGCAGGCTACCCACCCTACCCCCCCTAAGCAATTCATCAGTTACTTGTGACCATTTCTACTCCTGGATGTAGAGAGTAAGAGCCCAAAACACAACGCAATAACCTGGCCAGGTCTTAAGCCTGGAAACCTTAACCCAGAGTCTGGCATTCTGAAATTAAGGGTGCTCATGTAACCCACATCTTTTGTGACCACTCTGAAATTTCAATTTTTGAATTTATAAGTTTTTCAACATCTGATTTAAGGTAGTGGACCTGATTCTTATATTTAGAATGGGAATTTTGTTCTTTTTTGAACAAGGCCACAGAATTAAGAAAAAATATATTTTGCCAATTTACCTTATTAATTAGTTTTTTCTTTAAATGGGAAAAAAAATGATCTTTTTACATCAAAATTGACTGAAATTTTGAAAAGTGGGTTTCCTGACCTTCAAAAGACCAGGGAGGGAAATGGCAGGGAATTTTTTTGAGGCACAGTTGTATAAAAAGCCTGCTTACAGTTACTTCTGCAAATAAATACAAGAGAGTTTGTACAGTGCTTGAAATGTTTTAGTGCTTTGTCAAAATGACTCTTGAAACTAGATTGAGTTGGAGGTATTCAGCAAGCTCTGCATTGTGGCAGCTTATGAAACTTGACAATTGTTTCCCTATTTTCATAAACACAGTTTCATAAAATGCATTGAATGCTGTGGTTCAATGTGATTGTTTCATGATCTGGGAGTGTGTCTGGGGCAGAAAAGCCTAAACCAAGGTGTTTATACCAGTGGTATTTTTTGTGTCCCTCTCCTTTTGCAGTCACCTGACATGCTTGTTCCTGTCCATCTTTAGTTACAAATTCAGAAAAAGTGAGCTCTGTTCTGCAGGCAAGGCTAATGGGGGGTTCATCTCTAGTAAAGTCCTTGTATTAGAAAGTGAAACTAGGGTTATGCATGTTTTTGCAGCTGAATGCAGATGATGTCAGTTTGTTTCAATTGAAGATATATTTCTCCACTACTGTCAAAAGGATGCTGGTGCAAACAAGAAGTAGAGAGCCTGGTAAGAGATTATTTTTTGAGTCAATGTGATGCTCCAAGGAAATTTGAGACTTCAAATTCCAAGGTAATAGCTTAGTTGGCAGTACACCCTTTATTTCTTTTAGAGTTTCTTTTGGTGTGCTTAATATCATGCCTATATGTAGCATGCAGTGGTTGATCAGGAGTACTTGCTCAGTAACTATGCAAATTCAACAAAGTCAAAAAAACACATAAAATTTTGGGAGAACCATCTAAGAAAGAGGACAATTTGGTATTATCAAATGAGTTGATAGCATAAGTTGGCCACAGTACAGATTTGAAAAGCTAACCTCTTTATGGTGGCTAATTTAGATTATCAACTCAGTTGATAATACCAAATTACCCTGTTACTTTCTCCCACTGATGCAGTTTCCTTAGAAACTTACCCCCTTTATTCATTCATCTAAGAAAAAGTTCTTGTTCATATTAATCACAAAGTTAACACCTCTGGACATTAATGTCTATCTTATAAATTATTGTTGTACTAAGTTCTTGCTCTAGTGCTCCAGTCTTATAGAATTAGTTTTTTGGTCATCTTGACTAAAAAGTTGTGATGTTCCTCTTCTTCTCCTTGCTATTTGTCAATTTCTCTGTTTGATATGAAAAACTGTTACAATAGGTTTAAAATGGTATGAAATACTGCTATAAGTGTTAAATCCATTGCCCATCCAGTAGGGCAGGGATTAATCAAAAAGTAATAAAAGTTAGATAAATTGATCAAAGGGTAAGGTGAAATTTACATTTTCCTTCAGCCAAGTCATAGAAGAAAGTCTATTTGGGGAGTAGCTTTGAGGGTTGATGTTTGATTTTTTCCAATTTTGAGGGTACATGCCTAATTAATGGTTGATGTTTATCAGGAAGATACTTCATTAGTTGTGTGAGTTTAAATCAAAATCAAGTTGTTTTGTTTTTATTTATCAGTTAACATTTATCTTCAGAACTTCTCAGTCTTCCTCCTCTATGCAGTAGTAGTTAAGTGAAGCATAATTCTAGATAGCCTAGGACCCCTCTAGCTAGCAAAAATTGACTATTGATTTTCCTGTTTTTAGAGAAGCAAACAACAATTAATAACTGAAAACAGAACTTTGCACAACAGTTTCTTCTGACTGGTCTTGAGCATCACGCATGTTCAAAGTGTGTACTAAATAAGAACAACCTGGGATTTAATGAACCTGAACTTGAGTGCTTGCTTCACACCCCCTTATTTAGTGAACTAAGTGGTCTGAAATTATACGGGTCATTTCAAAATCAAACAAGCATGCAATGCAAGTTTGATTTGAAACCATAAGGGAGTCTTGGTATGATTTTAGGCCAAGATAGCGAAACACAAAGTTCAATTACCACTTTCCTACATCCATTTTGAAATCACAAAATTTAATCACTCAGCTACATGATTTTTAGTCTGTACTAATATCGGATCTTGAA